TCTCTGTCTCACTCTCTGACACCAATTTGTTACGTTTCCGTTTGTTAGTTGATTTTCCGTAAATTCGTTCTGACGAAACTTTAGCGACACAAGTCCTTACTTAATAAAACTGGTTTATCCTTTCCGAATATAACTTTACGATACACTTAATTTCAACAATCGCGCTAAAACAAACGTTAACTTCAACAATACTCTCTAACTGCAGATCAATTACTCACTGTCTACACCTACTGTCACGTCACGTCGTGACCATCTTATATATACCAGACCACCCCACCCCCCAATCTAGTAAATGCTAGAGCACTCCCGAAGGAACGGGATAGTTCTAGAAAGCAGGTGGCGTGACACTAGTCACGTGACCTCGCTGACGCAACCAACACATTCATCCCGTCACGTTGTGACCATCTTATATATACCAGGCTACCCTATATCTAGTAATCTCCCGACAATTCACGAAGGTTCGAAAGAAGTGGCGTGATACTAGTCACGTGACCTCGCTGACGCAACAATATCAATTTGTAGTTGAATACACTTTTGAAAAAGATTAACAAATCATATATATGAATATAGCGAAATTGTATGTTTGTTTGTCTGCTAACTCTTTTCACTCTATTTAACCAATCACCACCAAACGTGGCATGGTTACTCCTACTGCCCCCAGAAGTAACATGAAGGAGCAAAATTCCCACCAGGTTTCCCACAAATACTAATTTTGGGCTGTTAGTTCAGTTTTCAGTCTTCGTGTCACACTCCTTCGTGTCAACACTATACATCGTTGCTTAATAACAAAACTATCACTGTTTTTAGGCCAACAATGTTGTTTATTTTGAACGCGTAATGTACACGTCAATTTGTGGTTTACTTTTATTTTCTGTGTTTTAATCTTTTCGGTGAAACATGCCCCAGTGGCTCAGCGAAATGTCTGCGGACTTCCAACGCTAGAATCCAGGTTTCGATACCTGTGGTGGCCAGAGCACAGATAGTCCATTGTATTGTTTTATGTTAAAGTTCAAACAAACAAATCGGCGATACAAAAGCAAACGGTTTGATACAGAAACTTCTTCTTAAGTAAATGTTGGAGAGTTTCCAATCAAACAACTACATTATTATTCCAGACAAATGTGGTAACTTAGTTAAGGATGTAGAAGAGATAAAAGAAAAGGTGTTTTCTAATATTTGTCGAGATTATCGAAATTATTAATGTTTGTGTAAAAGTGTAATTCTTGCACCTCGAAGTGATACTGTTCATGACATAAGTGATCAATTATTGCAAAAGGTTCCCGGACAGGAATTCACCTCCAGCTCAATTGTCAGCGTTCCAGTTCCAGTTGATGCTGTTGATTGATGTATAGTATTCTAATTATTATCATTCATACTATATTTATTGTTATTTTTGTGAGCAACCACCTTCCCAATTAAACGAAAACTGGTATAGACGTGGAAAATTGTAGGCTCAAACATCCAAACACCTTTTTTTTTAGCATGTGAAACCGGCAATATCGAGGTTAACCTAATAGACGTAAACGTAGACCTCCAACGTAATTTTGGTTATAATTACTTCCGTCGGTACCTAAAACAACAACAACAACAAAAAAAAAAACAATTACATAATAACTCACTCTGTGATTCGTGCCTTGATGTTGAATATTTGTTTTGTGACTGGTTTTAAGTTTTTCAAGTATATATATATATATATATTCATTTATTAATTTTCTCCCTTTCTACAAAATTAAATCTCATCACACACACACACATTTATATGTAGTGAAACAAATTATTTATTGCATTTGAGTACATACTTATTAGAACAACATTCACTATATGTATATCACTATATAAGCTAACAAATTTCTTACTGTTTGATGTACTTATTGGAGTATTCACAGGTATATTTGTTTATTAACATTTAATACATAATTCCTCTTACAAATTCTCTAAACAAATTTTCTTGATCAGTTTTATTTGTAGGTGTACATTCAGAAGATTAACAATAATGAAATTTTTGATAGAATTAACTTTCCGATTATAACTGCAGTCACAATTCCTTAAAATGTTAAACAAAAGACTTAAAGGATCAAAACGACAAAAATTAATTTTAGTTAAACTTATTCAGTGATATTTTAGCTTTCTTACATACTACTTGATATGTAACTTGGTATTAAATATTTGTTTTCGGGATAAATGTTAGCCTAGATATTTTAACGAAAACTGTGATAAAACGAGATTACACGCTATCGTAATGCCGACATGTGACAAAAGGGGAGTATCTTCTTAACTTCTTGCACTATACGCGGTATTATCAAATAACTGTTCACGGAGGTTAAAGTCTTTTTCTTAATTTTTCTTTTTCGTGTCAGAAGAGTTAATTTCAAGAAGAGTAGTTGTGAATCAAGAGGAATATTTGGATGTTTATTTGTTTTGTCTTTTAATGAGTTAAAATAATTGCAGTTAACATATAAGTTTTGTATTTTAAAAGTTTAGTATTTAATTATGCATCGCTGGACGAAACAACAAATAGCCATTGCCGTTCTGATGGTTACAACTGGTTCTATCAACACCTTAGCAACAAAGTAAATGTTTTCTTTATATTTTGTTGGATGGTAGTAATCAATTTATAACTAAGGCAAGTTTATTGCTAAGCATAAAATTGCAGTCCACCAGAATAAGAAAAAAAAACATACTCTTCAGAGAAAATAATGTTAATACCCATTTTTAACATATCTATATGCTTTAGCTGAACTTACAGGATTATTTTTTATGTAAAACTAAAATATAATACAAAAATTATAAAATTAAGATTTATGTTGTCTTAGCATAATGAATATTCAGAACCTTGGTGTTTTCAATTTATATAGAATGACGTTTTAGTAATTCAATGAGTTTGTAAGTCCACAATATACCGGGCCTGCTGGACGTTCAAGGCTGTCCCTTCCACTTGAAAACATCATTTCTTAAATAAATCGCAATTAAAGAAATAAAATAACCCCAATCGAAGTCTCTCTTTCTTTGTAGATAAACCTTGTTATGTTATTATTATAACGTGTTCTCTCGTTGAGCGGTTTCGTTTGGAGTATTTAGTAAAAATAATGCCAAGTCCAGTCCATGTAACAGTAACAAATTATTTCTTTCTTCAATAACGTTCGGCGCAAGGCTTAATATCACCAACAAACTTTTCAACATAAACTCTGAAACTACTCTAGGCTTAATACAAGAACAAGGTTTAACAGAAAATTACTCGATTGATAAAAAATCTTACTATCTCATTGATTAACTTTACTTGATCAATCTTCTTTAGATCAGAAACTACTCTATCTTCTACATACTGAATATTTCACTATTTCTTTGATGTTAAGCGCAAAACAACCCAATGGGCTATTTGTACTGTGCCCATCATGAGTATCGAAACCTGTTTCTTAGCGCTACGAGCCCTCAGACTTACTGTCGAGACGCTGGAGGCAATATTTCATTAAATTTTGAATCACTACTCAATATCTTATAAGTAAATATTTCGCTGAACTCTTAATCACGAAAAGCGTAATAAGGGCCTGGTATGACCTAATAGTTAGAGCACTCGATTAATTGAACATGCTCGCTTTTATCAGCCGTCTTTGTTGATAAAGATTAGCTCAAGATTTGATGGTTGGTAATGTTGGCCAGTTGTCTTCCTAGTAATCGGTATTTCTAAATTAGTTACGGCGACAGATAGCCTTAGTAGTTTTACCGTAAAACAAACTGTTACGATAACGCAGGTCACGTGACGCTTGTATCACGCCACTTCCTTCTCGAACCTTCAATAATGTCGGGAAACTACTAGATTGGGGTTGTCTTGTATATATAAGACCGGCCAAGGAACAAGAGAAGTAATGTGTAATTGAACTGCTGAGAGAGAATATTGTTGAGCACGTGAGACGTTCGTTGTGAATTATAGCGTTTGTTATAGAGCGACTGTTGAAATTAAGTGTATCGCAAAGCTGTATTCAGAAAGAATAAACCAGTTTTATTTAAGAAAGGACTTGTATCGGTAAAATTTCTTCGGAAAGAATTTTTACGGAAAATTAACTAACGAACGGAGACGTAATAAAACGAACAAAAAGAGTAATTTATAGAAAGGATGGCAATTAAATGTATTTAATTAGAACACTATAAATTATCAGTGACATCAGAAGAACTGTTATTCTACTTGATTTAATTTGTTATCCAATTCAAATAAAAAAAAATCATAGAATTTAAACATGTTTTTATAAATTCATTTTGAAATTCCGAGAAAGAAAGACAATTTGGACGTCATAATCTCTTTATCAATTTTAACACAGTTTATATGACGTATTCTTGGGTATAGGAGCCCGACATGGCCATGTGGTTAGGGTGTTCGACTCGCAACCTGAGGATCGCGGGTTTGAATCACCATCCCACCAAACATGCTCGCCCTTTCAGTCGTGGGGCCGTTATAATGTGATGATCAATCCCACTATTCGTTGGTAAAAGAATGGCCCAAGAGTTGGTGGTGGGATGACTAGTTGCCTTCCCTCTAGTCTTTCACTGCTAAATTAGGGACAGCAAGCGCAGATAGTCCTCATGTATGAAAAGCACAAATGTTTTATGTTACAAATGAAAACTCACCGGTAGCATTTAACGGTATTAGTTTGTTTGTTTTGTAATTAAGCATAAAGCTACACAATGGGCTATCTGTGCTCTGCCCACCACGGGTATCGAAACCCGGATTCTAGCGTTGTAAGTCCGCAGACACACCGCTGTGCCACTGGGGGGCAACGGTATTAGTAAAGCAAGGTAAGACATAATTACAAAGGGGAAATTGCAGACTATTCCACAACCAGCTACCAGTCACACACTGTTGGTAATGAAATAACCCAAGAACATGTAGGCCCACCAAAACTAAACTAGAAACTTTCCTTAGAATTCTAAACAAGATGACCTTTACGTCTTTTTGTACACAACATTAATATAGGTGTCATGTTCATAAGTTTCTCCCAAAGAACGTAGCTGAGTGATATCTGGTAAATATTGTCAAATGTTGTCATAATAGATGAAACATGTGTTCACTCAAGTGTCTGAAAATGTTTGTATAATTCATTAACCCTTTGCCGTAAACATAATATTTTAAAAATGAGCACAGCTCGTATAGCAAAATGTTCTCCAATGGATTTATGGTTATTAATCACTCTTATAATGTTAATTTAAGCATCTGAAGATTGTAGAAAAAAGTTATGGTGAACTCGACATATTATTAGACAAACGTACTGACACTACTATACATACATGTTTATATATTGTGAGGAAATTTGACAGTCCTGTTTTCAAGTTTGCAAATATCGATGACATTTTCTTTTCAGATGGGCTGATATATCAATGTCCGAAGGAAAATATGGCAATGTCCATTCTTTTGATCATCCCTTTCTTCAGGTAAGGTGAAATCTAATTTCATACGGCTTGTTACATATTATTTTAAGGGATGAAGAATTCAGGGCTATGAATGATCCTTTTCGAAGTAGTTCTTTGCTCTCTTTAGAACATTTGCACAGGATTTTAAGCCTAATAAAGTTCTACAATATAAATGGCAATGATTTGAATATATGACATAATATTGTAGTTGGTAATTAAATTACCTTCCATTATTCATGATAAGAAAAATGTTTCATATTTATGATTAACAAATTTAAACTTTGGAGAGAGTTATTGTACCATGAAAGAGGGTGTTTATATTAAGGAGTACAGGAATTCTTGGTTATACATATCAATTACGAAATATACAAACTAGTCTTTCTAATATTTAACACTAAGAATACTTAGTTTATCCCAGAAGTACGATAAGTTTTAACCAAATAAATTCTCACATTAACTATCAGGACCGTACTTAGATTTTGTAGGGCCCTGGCAGAAGTTGTCCAAGAGCTACCCTCTCCAGTTTTTTGTATATAAGATGTAAAAGCAAATTTTTGAAGTGAACGCTGAACGGGCAGTTTTAAACATCACGGTCTTGGGGAGCATTTTAAGCTCCCTCATCAGGTTTCGGGACAAGATTCCAGAAGACAAAGGCATTACATGCATTTTCTTTCTAATAGTCCTCCCGATGGCACGGCAATATGTCTACGGACGTACAACGTGAGAAACCTAGTTTCGATACCCGTGGTGGACAGAGCACAGATAGCCCATTGTATAACTTTGTGTTTAACTTCACACAACAACAACAACTTTCTAAAATATACAATTCTGAATATGCATTCTAGTATTGCCCACTTAACTTTCTGATATAAAATATAGCATATTATTATTTTTATCTTTCTCTTTTTGTTAGTTTCGGTTTTTGATATCTTGTTTTCTATTAATTAAAGCTATGCATTTGTGAAACAAAAGTGACCATCTATGTTTCTTTTGCCCCTAGGCAGCTGTCTAGTTCACCTAACGGCACAGCACAACCTTGCTGCGCCTTTCGTCCTTTAGATGTTTTGTATTGATTTACATATATATATATATATAATGTATCGAATAAACTACTTGCCCTCAAAAGAAGCAAATCAAATCTACTAGAAATACATTCAATTAGAGTTTTAAACATAATTTACCAATGATCACTTTCTTTATCACTATTCACATAATCGCTAGTTGGGTACTCGTTTGATCTTTGTAACTAGTCTTGTTTGACTACTGGTGATGTAACTCATTATAACTATGACATATACATATATAGAGTTATACCCATAATTCTATTTGTTCTCCTGAAGAACAATAGTCAACTATTCGAAAGCGCTCGAGTTTTGGGTCTTATTTTAAGTCTATTATACAATTATCTTACGACAGCGGAAGACACGCAACGCTGGGAGCATGAGCGCTGGAGTTTCTAAAAGGATCATGACTTATCGAGGAACCCCGCGAATGTCCGAGTGTTTGCCAGGCGCCCTCTTTTTTAGTATATAAGCCTGGCAAAAAAAAGCCAGCGATAGATAGATATGCAGATAAATTGAAGATAGAGATAATTGAGTCAAATGAACAGTAGGCACCGTAAGTAAACTGTGTGAATCACTGTGATTTATAGCGTGTGTTATAAAGGCTTTTAAGTTTAAAGTGACTGTGGAAATTTTGTGTATTACAAAGTTTTATCGAAAAAGTATAAACTAGTTTTAATTAAGAAAGGACTTGTATCGCTGAAGTTCTTCGGAAAGAATTTATACCGGAAATTAAAGAAATTATCAAACGAGCAGATACTTAAGAAATTGGTGTCAAAGAGTGGGATGAAAAAGAAAAAAAAAGGATGGAAACGAGAAGT